ACCATTTTATTTACATTTCACTAATTTCTACCCCTTCTCAAAATCTGTAAAGACTATTTTTTTTCTTTTGCTTGGTGTGACATCCACATGTCCCCTGGTGTGCAGTCTCCCTGGTCGCAATGAGCCAATAAACCTGAATTCATCAGACTACAGGCTTGTCCCTGGTGGTCGTGAGGCAGAATAGGGTCTGGAGGCAGGGAACCTAAGGCTAATTCACACTAACTTCCTAGAACTAAATCAAAAGGAAAGCCCCAACTTTCCACACCCAAGTAACAAAAGGACCAGAGGCAAATACCCCCCCTTTTCTGCATGGCAGATGGAAAAATGAAATTATTTCTGATTAGTTGCTTTCTGCAACCAGTCAGATGTTGGCATAGTAGTGTAACTTTGTAACTTCACTTCAACCAATCAGACTAACTATGGGCCACCAATCAAACTTTTCTGCAACCAATCAGACTGACTGTGGGCCACTATTTCATTTACATAGGGTGTGTACCAAGTAACCAATGGGAAATCTCTAGAGGGTATTTAAACCCCAGAAAATTTTGTAACAGGGCTCTTGAGCCCCTATACTGGGGCCTGCTCCGACCATGTGGAGTGTACTTTCATTTTCAATAAATTTCTGCTTTGGTTGCTTCATTCTTTCCTTGCTTTGTTTGTGCATTTTGTCCAATTCTTTGCTCAAGACGCCAAGGACCTGGACACCCTCCACCGGTAACAGTCTTAGGCTGATTGGGAGAGCAGTGGCTGGTAAGAAGAGAGGGTCTGGCAAGTCCCAAGGAACACCAGCAAGCTAAGGAACATGGGCAACCACTGCTAACCACTCAGACCCCAGAACGAGCTCAAGAGTCTTACAGGAACAAAGGTGTCTTTTTTCTTTTTCTTTTAACAGTAAATGGAACTGCCTCCCTAGCAGAGAGCTCTGTAAGCTGGTGTTCTATATGTGCTTTTGAAGGAGGTTCCTTACCATTGTGTTTCAAGTTTCATTATATGTGGTTTCCATATACACCTTTAAAAGCTAAATCTACCTGCTTCTGTAGACATGCCTTATGTGCTGTTTTCATACAGTGAATGGAACTGTTTTCCAAGCAGAAAACTTTGCAAGCAAGTGTTTCAAACATGCTTTTGAGAGATGTCTCTAGCATTGCATCTCATTGTGCGTGAGGGGTTTATATATACGTGTTTTAGAGCTAAATCTAAGCATACTTTTTAAGAGAAACATTATGTGCTGTTTTCTTATAGTGAATGGAACTGTTTTCCATGCAGAGGGCTCTTAAAGCAGGTGCTTGAAACATACTTTTGAAAGACGTTTCTTACCATCGTGTTTAAGGTCTCATTGTGAGGGGCTTACATATACATGTATATATACACTTGGCAAAGGAGACCAATGGTTAATAGCTTTTTAATTTTTATAAATTTTTTGAGATAGGGTCTCACTCTGTCACCCAAACTGCAGTGCACGATCGTGGTGCTCACCACAGCCTTGACCTCCAGGGCTCAAGTGATCCTCCTGCCTCAGCCTCCCAAGTAGCTGGGACCACAGGCATTGCCACCATGCCTACTTTTTTCTATTTTTGTAGTTGTTGCCCAGGCTGGCCTGAAGCTCCTGAGCTCAAAAGATCCTCCTGCCTCTGCCCCCATGAAGTGCTAGGATTACAAGCATGAGCCACCATGCATAGTGCTAATAGCTTTTAGAAGACTGTCCAATCTAGAGCCTGACAAATAATAAATCATTTATACTTCTCCATTTGCTCAACCACCACTTTTTAGGTGCCCACTGAATCCATGGCACTTTTCTAGGCTGTGTGGTGGGGATATCAAGTAGAAGATACAGCCTCAACCTAAAAGGAACAATGATCTGACAAGAGCAAAGAGGTACCATTTGTCACCATCACAGATGACAACTCCTAAGAAGCAAGTCAGTGAACAAAGGGATTGCAAAGGTGGTATGAGTGTCCAGTTAGGAAGTGAGATGAGGTTTAGCAGGGAAAACAGCCTTTGTCCTGCAGTCATAATTTATGCAGAAGCCTGATCTGCCCTTGTACAAATTCTGTCAAGGATTTTTCTCCCCAACCCACCAGTTCAACTCATCTTCTGAATCTATAAGACTAAACTATTTGTTCAGAAAAATATTCAATAGTCCTTTCTTTGGGCTGTTTTTCTATCCTAGGAGGCCACAAATCTGCATCAATTATAATAAGAAAGAGGGAAACTCCAGATGTGGCAAGCTGGAGGAACCTCAGGGCACTTCATTATGAATATTTAGATGGTATTCCTCTTGTTATGAAAATTATGCCAATCTGTTCCCCAGCATGAGTTTCCGATGAATTTCAATGTCATAAAAGCTTTTCTTTTGAGGGGGTAGGGATGATAATGTTAATTGTTTAAATAAATCCTGATCAGATGAGTTGCACTTTCACTCAGAAAATACCAACTCATATGAACATTTTTTTAAATCATCACAATTCTTAACCCTGATGTGAGCTAAGGAGACAGACATCTGTGCAGGAAGGAGTTACCCTCTTCTGCACTGCTGGGCAATTTTTGTCATAGATTTGTCTTCTGGCCAGAAGGTAGAGGGAAGGAGGTTGCTCATTTCTAATATGTAGTTGCTCAGTTACTCTGTGGCCTGTGACCTAAACATAGGTATCACATCAAAATCCTGAAGCAGGGAAATGATTCAAGTGAAAGGGGCTTTTTAGGGGGCTTCTTAGTGGCTGGGGTGGTACTAAGTGGAAATCATGGAAGAACAATTACCCCAGAATTTGCTCTTGACAACCAGAGACAGTGTGTGGGGTGAAACTGCAGAACATATATGTATGTATGTATGTATGTGTGTATTTATTTATTTATTTATTTATTTATTTTAAGACAGGGTGTCACTCTGTTGCCCTACCAGAGTGCAGTGGTGTGACCTCAGTACAATCACTGCAGCTTCAACCCCCCCGGGCTCGAGTAATCCTCCCATCTCAGCCTTCTGAAAAGCTGGAGCTACAGGTACACACCACTGTGCCCAGCTAGGGGTTTTGCCATGTTGCCCAGGCTGGTCTCAAACTCCTGGGCTCAAGTGATCCACCTGCCTCAGCCTCCTAAAGTTTTGAGACTACAGCTGTGAGCCACTGCACCCAGACCAACTGCAGAAATTCTTATCCGGATGTCTATGAAAAGAGTCTGTCAATAAATATCCCTCAAGGCTTCAGTGACAGTAGTAATTCCCCTTCCTGATTTGCTACCATTTACAGGCATATTAACATCTATACCCAAAGACATCTTTCTCATGTTCCTACTAAATTGTTCACATTTTCCTTTTGGCTCTTCCATCAGCTGCTTAATTTTCTGAATGCAGAAGCCTTCCCCTCTTTCAGAACTGAATGAGAGGATGAAGATCCTGGGATAAACCCTGGGGTTTTCTCTAGTATAACCCTCTGACTTCACAGTCAACGCAGATGATGAAGAGGAAGGCCAGAGGAATAAAATCATTTGCCCAAGTTCACATGGCTAGCTAATAACAGAGCTGGTCTTAGAATATGGGCTTCCTGACTCTCAGCCAAAACATAACACCCAGCCCCTGTAAACCCACTCTTATGAGTAACCCATCCCCCACCATGCTGCTCCTAGAGGGCCAGGTATGTGGATGTAGTTAATAGACGCTTTCAGAACTGAACAAGGCTTGGGCTGGAGCCAGGATTCTCCCACGTGCTTAGAAGAGCTAAGCATTTGGAACTGTGTTTGTTTTCAAGCACAGTAAGCCCCTCTTGGACCCCAGAATTACTCTAAAACTATACTGTCCATAAAGAGTAGACGGATGGTTATCAGAGGCTGGGAAGAGTAGTTAGGGGCTGGGGGATAGGTGGAGATGGTTAATGGATCCAAAAAAATAGTATGAATAAGACCTACTATTTAATAGCACAAGAGGGTGACTACAGTCAATAATAACTTAATCGTACATTTTAAAATACAGAGTATAATTGGATTGTTTGTAACTCAAAGGATAAATGCTTTAGGGGATGGATACCCCATTCTCCATGACGTCATCATTACACATTGCATGCCTGTATCAAAACATCTCATGTACTCCATAAATATATACACCTACTATATGTAACCACAAAAATGTTTTTTCAAAAGAAAATACTAAAAAAAATAAAATTACACTTTCCAGTATGGTTGCCACTAGGCACACATGACTACTGAGTACTTGAAATGTGGCTACTCCAAATTGAGATATACTACACCTGTGAAATACATATGGGATTGTGAAGACTTCACATGAAGAGAGCAATGAAAATACCTCATTTAACAATTTTATGTAGATTACATGTAGAGATGATAATATTTGGATATATTCAGTTAAAATACATTAAAATTAAGTCCAATTGTTTTTCCTTTTTTTTTTTTTTAACATGGCTCCTGGAAAATTTAGGATTACATATATGGCTCATACATGATATTTTATTGGCTAGCACTGTTCTAGTTAACCCCTCTCATTCATTCACCTAATCCTTTCAAAAAGTCTTGAGCCTCCTGCCTGCAGACATGCAGTGGTATCTAGAGCTATTCAAGCAGAGGTGTGTTGAAGATGCCGGTGGGAAGTAAAGGGTAAGTAATATTGATCACGTGGTTAGGCCTCTCTGACCTGAAGGCTCATGAATCCCTAAAGCACTTAAATTGCACTCTCTAAAATCTTTCAGCCACCTTAACTGTGCAAAATGCTTTCATTATATATGGATAAACCCTAGCTCTGTACATGAGTGAGATACATATAGTAGGAGAGAACCACGTTCTGTAATAAGGGAAAAGGAAAAAAAAAAAAACAAGAGTTATGGATCTAACTTATGCCCACCCTAATGATGGGGACTGAATGAAACACAATTGTGTAGATTTTTCTGATGTGTTTGCAAAAACTATCCAGGTTATATATGGATTTCTAAAAAACATTTCTGTTATTCTGAAGTCCCTAAATGCTTTTAAATGTGAAATAGATAACTAAGGAAACTCACTTTTTGTCCTGCTGTCCATTTCTGTTTTCGACGAGTCTGGAGTTGCTGTAGTTGCAGGTAACTTCTTCCCAATAGTCTAAGGGGAAAAACAGATTTTACTTGTCAAGATAATTGTTTACATTAAGCACAGGAATAAGATCCAGATCATAATGACAAAATGCTCAAAATTGGTTTAAAAAGCCACACTCTTTGGTTTATGCCCTGCTTTGTGTACTGGCTGCCACCCTTTAATAGGTTTGATCCTCAATGACAAACAAGAGAAAACTAGGTTAAAAAGGCCTTTATCCTTGTAGGCACTCAGTAGCTTTTATTCTCTTTCTTCCTTGATGCTCTTATAAAAGGTTGACTATTTTTAGTAAAGAAAATAGGCATAGTTCCCTTCATTTTATAAGAAGCTGACTCGATCTATGGAGGTACAATAGTCGGCCCAATGGAGATGCTAAAAAGTCACTGCAAGTGGGAAGAATGGAAGTAGAAGGGAAGAAATCAAAAGGAAGGGATACAGGAATGGAGGCCCAGGAGGGCAGGATGGGCAGGCAGGTGGATGGACAGGCAGAAGCCAGGATGTCCAGCACAGTGTACCCTAGTGCATCTCTGTCTAGCCATCTAGAATTCCACCTGCCTCCCAGAGAACGGGGAGATACTCTCACATCCTCTAGGCAAATCTACCTGCCTGCCCCAAAGGAAAAACAAGTCCACCAAGAAGGTCTTTTCTCTACAGTCTTTTAAGCCTCCAGGACTTGGAAAAAATCCAGTGTCTCAGACCCTATGCTTCTAGTGACTAGTTTATAAAAAGAAAGATTATAAGTTTCAGTTCATTTCATTTCCTTCATTTGTGGCTAATTCTATTATCATTATTTATGAACCATCCATAGAGAAGACTGGATCTTATCTCTGCCTAAAGATGTTCCTGAAAACGCAGGCAACTTAGCAGCTCAAAAACAAAGAAGCACACAAACCCAATAGTTCCCAAGGCGAGGTCTGTTCCCACTCTTCCCCTTTGCTACCACACATGTGTGATCATGATTAATGCCTGAGGGAAAATGTCTATTGATACCAGGGCAACAGCTGTCACAACCACATAGCTGGGGAAATTGACCTCCCCCCAACAATGAAGTGTTTCGCCAGTGAGAATTTCACCCACTGGGAAAACCAAACATCTCTGGCCCTTGAACACATGAAAAGGAATGAACTGCATAATTCAAAAACTGGCATGGTGGAATTTTTCTTCAAATAAAACTGATTCACTAGTTTTTAATTTGAAAAAGTTCTTCATGCTTCAAGTGTTGAACCTAACATTAAATATGAATAAATCATAGAAAGAGGATAAATCAAATCCTCAGCCCTTCATGAATTTTTAAAAACATTTGTGACAGAAAGCCTTTACATTTTACATGGTGACATTTTTATTTAATGCCGCAGGGCCTTCTATATTGGATAAAAAATGAAACCCAAAATAATATGCCACCTCTAAACTGCCGCTAAGAACTCAAACTAATAACATTTTATGATTCCAGGGGAACATCAGGGATGAAAAAAGCTTGATGTTATTCTGGCATCAGGTCAAATCTGATGAAAAACTGTTCTTAGAATTATTTTGAAAAATCAGGTATTGATAGTAAAAATAACAGCTCTCAAAGTGTTCATTTCATTCACATTCCTGTTCACACTTCCAGCAGCAACCCTGCCAATATATTTGTTTTTCCCGTTCTGGAGCTGGAATAAAGCATTACTATTGTTAACACATTAGGAAGAGGAAAACAAAAACAACCAGTGCTTCTGCTATCAGTGAACAAAGAATTCAGGAAAGGCAATAGTAAACACTGTCCCCCACTCCTGACTTTGTTTGCTTTCCTGAAATAAAAGGACACATGTAACAGTTTGAGCATTAAACCAGATGCCTTCCTTTAGAGAAACCTTCAACAGGCTGCCCATTTTTTATAACTTCCCCTTCTTTGGTAACAAAAGAAAGTATTGCCTGTTATCTTTGATATCCTGGCTTGCCAAAAAGTCCAATCTACCAGACATCACCCAAGACCACCAGTTCAATGCACTTACTTTGGTACAGAAGGACACAAAAAAGCAAAGCTCACTGTGGCTTGTTTCCTTCCTATTTCAGAAAACACAGCACATTGGCCTCTGCATGGATCCCAGCAACAGGGGTGATGATGAAGCTGATATTATCCTCATCTTCTGGGAAGTGCTGGCCCTCAAATCTTCTCTTCTCCTTCATGGGCCAGGATTAAAAGTCTAGAACGGCAGAGTTTCTCCCCATCTCAGCCTGTTCCTACCGGTGCTCCGGAGATGGGAATTGGCCCTGTGTTTCTCTTGTCTCTAGAACCTAGACCTAGAGAAGTGTGGTCCCTGCATGAGCAACACCTGAGAACTTGTTAGTAAAGCAATTTCCCAGGCCCCGCCCCAAGCTTTCTCAATCAGAAAGTCGGGGGATAGTTCCCAGCAGTCTCTCAGAACACACCCTCTGTGGGATTCTGGTGCACATTCACATTTGGGAACCACTGACCTAGATGTGGGAGGGAGTACATTAGTATTAATCTAATGCCTTTTCTTGGATTAAAGACTGAGGGACCTATTCTCATAACTAGATAAATTATAAAACATCTTTTTCACTCTTCTTCCTTCCTTCTCCCTCTCCTTTCCCACCAAACACATCTACCTTCTCTATTCTCACTGGTCTAAGAACTTGTCATTGCTACTACATGACTCAGTTCAGAGAGGAACTTGAGTACATTAGATTAGACAATGTGACAACATCACTGAGGGAAACATGGGGGAAGATAGTTGGCCACTGTAGGGGTGGCTAGGTGGAAGGAAGGAGGAGGACAGAAGGAAAAAGAAAGAGGGAAGTAAGGAAGGAAAAGGAGGGAAAGGAGGAGGAGAGAAGGAAGGAAAAGGAAGGAAGGGGAGAAGAAAAGAGAAAGAGGGAGGGAGGGAAGAGAGGAAGAAGACAGGGAAGGAAGGAGGCAGGGAAAGGAGCAGGAAAGGAGGCAAGGAGGCAGGGAGGCAGGGAGGCAGGGAGGCAGGGAGGCAGGAAGGCAGGAAGGCAGGAAGGCAGGAAGGCAGGAAGGAAACAAAACGTGGCTTAGCCTCTCTGGGCTCAGACTGCCCGGAAGGCTAAGCAGGCAGACTCCCATGACTGTGTGAGCCTTCAGAGAGGGCAAAACCCTGTTTCTCCTCAGTGTTTCCCTTTACTGGCATTTTAGGTGAGGTGTTTCTTCATTGTAGAAGACTGGCTCACACATTAAAGGACATTTGGCAACCCTTGCCACTACCCACTCAAAGTCTATAGTGCCCCCTGAGTCACTGCATGTACCCTGAACACCAAGCACCTTTCCAGACACGCCTGGTTGAAAACCTTTAGGCCCTGCCCTTCCCTATATACAAGAACAAAGACAAAGGGGGGTGAATTATTGTTTTCCCATCAGCCTTCCAGCTCCCTCTACCTCTGAAAACATCTTTGGTCAATTGGGCTTAAAATGAATAGAATCCCAAATTTCAAAGGGCATGCCTCATGAACACAATGTCTAGCTCCAGTACACAGGTATGTCATGGATAACTGAAGGTCAGCTACACTGTAGGGCTAAGTGGATAGAACAATCAGGGATCACATCCATACATCTCTCCTCCACCTAGCAGGCAGCGAAGAGGGATGTTAGGCTTGCAGTGGCTGGAGAGGAGGATACGGGATCTCCCCTTTGGCCTCTTCCACAGAGTTCTTGCTCCCCTGGGTGCCTTAAGGAAGGTGGATTGTACACGACAAACACCAGCCATACCCTTAGGGGCTGCGTTGACATGCTCAGGACACAGCACATTCACCTCCTAAGGGACCTGCAAACAGACCCATTTTGCCATATGACTTTGGATGGAACAGACTCTCAGGTTCCGCTCCCTAATTTGGCCCATTATTTTCTCTTTCTTCTATGAGGCAACTAAAGACTTCCCAGTACACACACCCACATTAGTCAGATCTGCTTGGTCTGGGAAAGGATGTGCATATGGTTGAATGGATAGAGCTATATCTATATTGCTATGGATCTATTTCTACACATGGTAATTACCAGGCTGTTGTCAACTTTTGTCTCTCTTGCCACATCCCTAACTCCATTTAAAACCTAACTTTAAAAAATCAGTAATTCACAAAGTTCATTCCTTTGAATATTTAATAACATAACTACCTCTCCCTTTCGCTCTCTTGCCAAAAGCACTAAATAAACATTTTGGGATTTTTTGTGTACAGTGGGAGTATCATATGTACTCCTAGCTGTACAAAATCCAGTGGTACAGCATCAAGACAGATACCACCATATGATTTCAGTTAGTGAACAACTAATTTTTTGTCTTTTCTCTGCCAAAATGAAGAAACTAATGCTTACAGGAAAGGCAATCACTGGATTGGAGTCCAGGGGAATCTAGTTCCCAAATGACTAATGTATCTGTTTCTCTTTGTGACTGTAGAATGTGAGACCAAGATCCTGCTCAAATCAAGAATATAAAATCCCTTCTCCTACTTTATTCCAATTCACATGCAAACACCGAGCTTCCAATTATAGGACAATGCTAAGGAGAATAAAGTTTAAGCCACATCTCTGAAAATCTCCTCTCCAAGAATACCACATACAACTCTCGTATCACAAAGGCAGCCAGGTTCAATGGGTAGTAGGAGGAGACAGAGAGAGCTCCCTGCATTCTAGCAGATGATGAAGCTCCCCTGTCCAGAGGCCTCGCTTTCTGGCAGCTATTATAAAAGAGGATGGTGGTCTGAGAAGCTATCCACACAGAATACTCAAATACTCACTGTATTAGTCCATTCTCATGCTGCTAGTAAACATATACCTGAGAATGGGTAGTTAATAAAGGAAAGAGGTTTAATTGACAATCACAGTTCAGCATGGCTGGGGAGGCCTCATCAAACTTACAATCGCAGCAGAAAGGGAAGCAAACATGTCCTTCTTCACATGGCAGGAGGAAGGAGAAGAATGAGTGAAGTGGGGAAAAGCCCCTACTAAAACCATCAGATCTCGTGAGAACTCACTCACTATCATGAGAACAACATGGGGG